ATGCTAAGACAGGTTGTCTAAGATTTGATCTCAAGTCAAACGTCAACCTATCGTCATTGACATCAGACCTGGCTTGCAGGTGAATAGGATAAAAATTTTAACTTACAGATGTCACCATGAAACTTTACCAGTTGAAAAAAATGTATTGCAAATTTGCCTTTGATTTTATGTTTAAATATGCTAATCAGGCTATATCTATTTAAATATGTGCTAATTTGCATATATTTTAAAGTGACGAATCTGACCATTGAAAAAAAAACAAGGTTCAAAATGATGTTTGCATTATGTTGATATATTCAATGAAAAGACATTCTCAGAGGGGATTATGAATATCTCCTTTTGTTACCCTGTAAATCAGAAAATGCTGCCAATAGCCTTAAAAAATAGATTTCCGCCCTATTTTTAGGCATAAAATGTCATATAAATCAGGCCAAGAATGATATATCAACAAATCCCTCTGAACAAACCTTCACTATATAGTTAGGAATACAGCTGTAAAGTTTGGTATATGTAGGTGCCAAAGAAGTGTGAGGAAAAAACTCATTTTGAGAAAACAGCCTTTAAAGATTTTTATGGGATTGTCCATTTCGAGTTAAATGGCCCATTTTACTTTCATGATTGGTTGCTGATAAACAGGAAATGACCATATTTGGATCCGACAGCATTGAAGAGTAGAGAGAGAGCTTGCGTTGACACGGTGCGGATCGCGATCACGGAGCAGCGGGATGATTTAGAACGCCAACTTTTGAGGAATTTAGGCATAATCTACACACGTAAACAGACAAAGTGTAGTGAAATAAAGACCTAAATGTGTATTTTGGATTTTTTTCCGGCACAAGTCTGAAAGACGACTTGTTATTGAATACAAATAGCCCAAAATCTCAAAACTGACCAGTGAAAAAAAACTGTTTTGGCCAACCTTAATACACCGTATTTGATTGCAAATCTAGACAGCATTCATATGCTATAAATACGATTCCTTTTTTAATAATTCGGGGAGTTTGACAGGTCACCAGCCTCTATTGTGTGGAAAATATCAGCGTGAACCTTCATCAAAATATCTCTTTTTGTTTTCCTCTTGAGACGGGTTTGGAAAAACATGTTTGCCCATTTTATGGGAGAACTATTCCTTTAAATGTCATTGCATTGAGGTTTGTTGGTGACCCTGTAAATGAATCTGTCCTTCAACTTGTCAAAAGTGATTCTCCCTCGTTAAACCAGGGTAAACTCCCCCTCCCCCTCCTCCTTCCCCAAACCCATCTCTCTCCTCCTAGACTAGTTTAAGAGTCGCCCACCCTCTTAAACCCCTGTGATGGCGCGCTGGGCTTCCTGTAAAGAATTCAGATGAAGAGAGAACAACAGGGTGGGTCTCCTCAGAAGAAAAACAAGCTTTGAAAGATTGACTGCTGAAGGAGGAGGGGAGGGAGGCTAATTATACACACACACACACACACTCAGTTTCTCTCTCTGAAGAACGATTCACTGTGCCCAGAGTCCATTCAATTGCTCTCTGCCTTGTTCACAAAGACCTGTCAGGATTTTCAGGGAAACAGCATTAAAGATGTGCTTTTCTTAATTAGCTCATGCCATTGTTGCCAAAGTGACTTAAACAACACTTGCTGGAACACACGCGATTGTCTTCGGGGGAATGTAATGACGGCACGGGATAACTGATTATCAGTTTGGAGATGCCACAACATTTGTTCTGCTTCATAAAGCCAGTGCTGTGCACTTGTAAAAAGCATGTAAAGGCTGAGATGTAACTGCTGACTTATTTAATTAGACATTTAGTGCTTCCTTTTAGTATTTTAGGTCAGGTTTGTTTGGTTGCTTATTTTCTTATTCATTTTTTAATGACGCCTCGATGTGGTGCATTATAAGACACTGATTAAAGGAGTAGTTCACTTTTGCTGATAATTTACTAATGTCTTTCTTTCTTCAGTTGAAAAGAAATGAAGGTTTTTGATGAAAACATTCCAGGATTTTTCTCCATATAATGGACTTCACTGGGCACCAAACGGATCAAGGTCCAAATGACAGTTTCAGTGCAAACTGTTCAAAGGGCGGGCTTTAAACAATTCCAGACGATAAATAAGGGTCTTATCAAGCGAAACGATCGCTCATTTAATAAATAAATGGCAAAGTTTAAGTTTTATAAGCTCAAATGCTCGGTTTGCTCTGTACGATGCGCATTCGTGACTCCCATTAATCAAAATGAACGAATCTTTTTCGAAACGAGTCAATTCGTTTGTTTCTTTCGTTGAATGAACCAAATGACTCAGAAAAAGATTCGTTAGAGCAAACCGAGCATTTGAGCTCATAAAACGTAAACTTTTTTTTTGTTTTGTTTTTTAAATTAGCGATCGTTTCGCTTGATAAGACCCTTATTCATCAGCAAAAGTTAACTAAACTAAACTAAACTACAAAAGTGAACTACTCCTTTAACGAAATGAACACATACTACAGTGACTATAGTCTTGCGAATATGTAATTGATAGGTAATCATTCTCATCTATACTGTGTCATTATGTCATTCCTCTCTCTCTCTTGTTGGTCGGTACTGTAAACATTAGCACTGCCGTTAGGGTGACGGTGTCTTTGTGGAGTGGCGTCCCGAAGGAACGCCGTCACCCGACATCCTTTAAGACTCTCTTTACCTCTATCAGCTCTCTCTCTTTCCGTCTCTGCTGTCTGTCACTCACCCCAGCGAGGCGAACAACAGCTCCTTTCTGCTCCCCTTATCACCCGCCTCACGGGGTCAGCGGGTCAACCCGGCACTGAGCATGCCCAGATACACTCGTATCGATTTTAATTTTGCGGCGTACCCCTCACCGTTGCCATGAATGCCAGCAGAAGAGAGGAGAGGGGGCGGCCGGGTGATAGAGAGGGATAGATAGAAGTCTGGTGTGCAGTGAAGAGTTGGACTCCATTCTCTCGTCCAAGTGTGTCTCTTTCAGCCCTTTTCTTTGGGCCTTCGATCTGGCGGGCTGCCGGCGGACCCCTAGAGGGTTGAGGGGCCAGTGTTGAGAGGGCCTCCTTTGTGGGGATTCACCGGGCAGGACTGACAACACTGACAGCGGCGATAAAAAACACGGCTTCCCCTCCACACACACACACACACACTCCTGTATTGTCCACGATAGACATGCTGTTCACAATGTGTAACCTTTCGATAGCCAGACAGATTTTAACCCTCTAGATTCTGATGGGGGAAAAAAACTGTTTAAAGGAAGTTAACGCTGCCGGTGTGTGTATGTGTGGTGTGATTTGTACATTTGAAACTTCTTCCCTTGTGACCTCTATCATAATCATAGCTGAATTACTCTGGACTTCCTCAAAGTCTCTGATAAGGTTCTGTCAGTAATACAGACTCTGCTGGGATCGTCACTTATTCATAAGTTACAGAGTTTATCTAATGCATCAAGGTCCGGTGTTGCCAAGTCCCTGGCTTTCCTGTGGAATCGGGCTATATTTGCACTGCTGTGCCGTGGGTTTTTTTAGTCCGCGGGTTAAAGTGCCCCCCACCAAACCCCATTCAACCCCACCCCTCCTAATGTGGCGTTACCAGGGAACCCCAGTCCCGTAACACGACCGGCTAGTTTTGGCAGTGATTGGGCAGGTTTTAAATAGAAATACACAAACCTGGCAACCCTGTCAAGATACAACATGTAAAAAAATAAATAAATAAATAAAAACACTTTTACCAAAGATTGTCAAATTAGATGGAAGGGATTTATGAATATACTGCATTAAATAATATATTTATATAAATAATACATTATAATGATTTAAAGGGATAGTTCACTTTGAAATTAATTTTTGGTATGTTTTAGTTTACTTCAAGGGCATCCAAGATGGAGGTGTCTTTGTTTCCGCAGTAGCTTCAATTTTGATATTTTTCAGTCATATAATGGAGGTCTATGGTCACCACCTCAAAAAACATGCATGACGTGACTAGGGTTGGGTATCGTTTGAATTTGAACGATTCTTATTCCGATTCCTTGTTTCGATTCCGGTTCCTAACGATACTCGATTCCGATTCTTTTAAGAGGCCGGGTCAAAAAAGTTTAGTTAACCTTGCTAACCAACGACCTTTCTGAAGGAAATAATCCTTTCTGAAGGAAATACTCCTTCTGTAAAAATACTCCTTTTGTCACAAATTTTGCATTTTGCCGAGATTTCGTTATTTTTAGAAAAGTGAAGCTACACTTTGGATCGCCGATGTAAGGTACTCATGTTCGACTCGCGTGGTTATGCCAACACTTCCGGTAGACGCTTCTTCGTCGGTGTTGTTCAGCGGTTTCTTCTTCCGCTCGGCGGACTGTGAATATCGAAACTAGGAATCGAAATTTTAACTTTTGAACGATTCCGGGAAAAACAAAAAGTTAGTCTCGGTTCCAATCGATACTCGATTCTCGATACCCAACCCTAGACGTGATTGATTACAAGAGGTAAAAACGATATAAATACTGTTCGTTTTCTCACACAAACCGCTCGTTTCGTGTCTTAGGCCATCAGTGTGTAATTACATTTACGAGTCATTAAATCATGTTTAATCTGGACTTCTCTGTGCATGCTCTTTGAGGTGGTGACCATAGACCTCCATTATATGACTGACAGACAAGAACAGTTTGACCTAAAAATATCAAAATTGAAACTACTGCGGAAACAAAGACACCTATATCTTGGATGCCCTACCAAAAACATACCAAAAGGTAATTTCAAAGTGAACTATCCCTTTAATGCAAAATGAAAATGTGCAGCTTTATGATATGAATGAATACTCTCTATATATTACTTTTGAGCCACTATATATACACATGTACACATACACAATAAAATCCATAGTTAAATTAAACGTACATAATATTGAATTATTTTCACTTCAACTGAATTTTGACTTAATTTTCAACATTAGAATGGTGTTAGAACGACAGTTGCAAAAATACAAGAGAACAGTTGATTGTAAAGTTGATCCCTGTGCGCATCCTTATCCTCAGGGAAGAGAAGGAGCGCTGGATCCGGGCGAAGTACGAGCAGAAGTTGTTTCTGGTTCCTCTTCCTCAGTCAGACGTGCCGCTGGGACAGCAGCTCCTGCGGGCGGTGGTGGAGGACGACCTGAGGCTGGTGGACCTCCTGCTGGCCCACGGCACCAAAGAAGAGGTCAACGAGACGTACGGGGACGGAGATGGACGCACCGCGCTGCACCTGTCCTGCGCCATGGCTAATGTGGTCATCACACAGCTGCTCATCTGGGTAAGGACGCTCGAGATGCTTTCCTTCATGAAAATCCCCTCCATTTATTCAATTGAAACATTTGTCCCTTTTCCTCAGTACGGCGTGGACGTGACGAGTCGCGACTCCCGTGGTCAGACGCCGCTGTCCTACGCCCGGCGGGCGGGAAGTCAGGAGTGCGCAGATATCCTCATCCAACACGGTTGTCCCAATGAAAGCGGTGGCCTGTCGACACCCACGGCCACCCGACACAACCCCAACATCAACAACAACGCTCAGTGCGAGCTCAACCGTAGTGTTAGCATCATGTAATCGCGTCGATCTTCCCAAAATGGCTTCATTTCCCTCAGCAGTTCGTCATTATTAGGTGCCTTTCCGTAGGTACGTAGGTTCGTAGTGCCGTGCGTGTCATGTCAAGTCATCACCCCGTGACAACTTCCTGTGACCAATGCTAGCGTACGGCGAGAATTAGCAGTGTTAACGTTATCAATGCGTGTTATTTTTAAGCTGAAAAACAAAATTATGTTTTTAGGGGTCCTCTCTTGTCTGAGTATTGACCAAAAAATGAAATGAGGGGTTCTGAACATAATCAAGTTTTACATTTTTAAGGTGCGTCAGGTTAGAAATAATCAATTATGGATGATAATTTTTTTCAGAATGTTCAATTATGCTGTTATAGGGATAGTTCAACCAAAAAATGTACTCTTTAAGTTATTCCAAACCAGCATGACATTTCTTTTTTTCTGCAGAAGAACAAGACAATATTTTGAAGAATGTTGATAACCGAACAGTTTCCGTTCCCATTGAATTCCATTGTATTTTTTGTCTGTATAATGGAAGTCAATGGGAACCAAAACTGATTCAACAGAAACAGAAAGTTATACAGGTTTGGAACAACATGACAGAATTTCATTTGGGGATGGACTATCTCTTTAAATCGGCGATTCTGACGAAACGCCTATTTCACCTCAAAGCCAAATGCCAAATTAATTTTAAGGTTTAAATAACGAAAAAATATTTAAAAAAATATTTTTCCATTTTAATATAGTACAAAATACTGTGTTACAGTAATGAGGATCAAAAGGAAATAAATATACAGACAAGAATTACACACAAAAAATGTTTTGAGGGGTGGTTTGTGGAGGAAAAAATCCTTAATTTTCTTTCTGCAAAGTTATTTTACTAATTTTTGACGCTCATTAACGTCACAACTTAATCGTGAAATTTGTCAGATTCATGATAAACGTTTAAATGTGTATTTGATCTTGTGTTTCACACGTTTAATAGTTGTTCCACCATCGTGCCCTTGAACGAAACTCAGAAACACTACGGGCTGCTGGGTAACGCATTACCATTCGTAGCATCAGTACGAGATAACGAAACCCAAATCATCAGACTCGTTACCTTTTACATTTAGCCTTTCCGTGATTGTCCTGCTAAGAAACAGCGTGAAGGCTTGATTACATGACAAATACTGTATCATTACGGATGCCTCATTTCTGTTCTTCTAACTGTTTGACACTGTCGTGGCGCTAAAGCTCTCCTGCCTCCTTTCAGTAGCAGCGGACGGTACCTACACGCTAGATTACGAAATAAGACGCTCTCGTCGTGAAGTGTGTGTTTGTTTAATGAGTCCGATGACCTCCACACTTGTGACGGTGTGGATGTTTTTGTATCCAGACGTGTGTTTCTTATCGAATGGGATGAGCGGGTTTATGTACATTTATTTGTGTGTATACAATAGCTTTTCCTTCTCCCTCTTGCAGCTAGCTAGCTGTGTGTCGTGTTTATGGATGCGACGACCCATCCGAAACCTATCGGCCTTAACCCTCGTGTGTACGGCGTGAAATTTTACAAAACACTCCTTACTTGAAATATAAAGTACTCATGATTCGACCCTGATTAATGTTTGGCACATGTCAGTTAAAGGGAAAGTGAGATGTTGAACCTCTTTAATGAGTTTTTACCAGACAGTATTTAAGTTTACATGTTTTTTTTTAGGTGTATTATATGGATGCTTGTTTCCGCCACGTAATAAAGAAAAGAAAAACAAAGTTTTGCGAAGTGTAAATTGAGCACTTTTTCCCACTATTGTGAGTTTATATCTGAGGGAATATACAATTCTGAGGGGGAAAAGACTTTATTTTGTGGTGGAAACCAGCTTCTATAGTTTTACCTTCTAGCAGGTACGTTTTCTGTCACATTTGAGTCCGATTTGTACATGCAACCCTCATCTAACCAAGCTTTAGGAGAAATGCCATTGATTTAAAATACAACGGCGTTTAATTTCTGCGGCACATTGTATTTTAAACCTGTTTTTAATTCTGGAAGGTCATTTGGAGCAACATGCATGTAAAGTTTCCTTTGGTGATCTGCCCATGTGACCCTTTTGACCTTCATAAAGTGAACATATATCAACGTTATGAACATTTTTTAAAATATACGTTGAGTTTGGGCTCCTGTGTATTGCGTGAGCTTTTGGGAGTATGGCAGTTGAAAAGGATAATAGTCCACGCGACTGCCGGATTATTGAACGCTGGGATTCGCCTGTAAAGCTCAAGAAGTATCCCAGTACCACAGAGGCACCGTTCTGTTTTTAAGTTGTTTTTGGTACCTGTTTTTGGGTCTCAATGTGTGCACATTGTCTGGCCATTAAGGTACTTTGTGTATTATATGTACATTTGACATATTTATAAAAGCAAGATGTAAATAATTCTTTTTGTTGTTGCTTTTATTGAGCTGTTTGATAACTTTTTTTGTTGGTTCTTTTAATTTGCCATTGTTTTTAATTGCTCCTTCTGAACACGACGGAGCGCTTTCATGAGAGTTAGCTGTTGTCTGATTGGATGCTTGGCTGGATATTGACATAATAAACACTCCAATAAAATGATTTATACCATGAGTGCTGAAAAAGTTTGTCGTTCATTCGTCATGTATGATTATGAAAAAGTATGCTTGAGAATCTTTTCTCAATGGTATTGTTTTTGGTAAGTATTTTAAATTTTATTTTCCTGAAAAATTGGTGGGAATAAAGAAAATGCTCATTTTAATAGTGATAGTTTTCTAGCTATGTTTTTTTTTAAAACACAAACAAAACACTAAGGAGTTCTATTTAGCCACTGTCTTTTTCAAGACATGTCAAAGCTTTAAATAAAATCACATGGGGGTGAAGAGTGGTGCAGGGATGACGTATTTTTGTAGGCCAAAACCTGGAAACGCATTAGCATTTTAGCACTTCTGGTTCCATCGTCCTGAAGTCAAGTAGTTTTTGGTTAAATGCTTTAAATACGGTCTGTTGTGAACACAAGCTCAAGATATTTTCATGTTTTATTCTGTGATATAAAAACACCAGTAATACCCTCTGTTTTTTTTTTCTTTTTATATAACTTTTAACTGTCTTGTAAAAGGCAGTTGCTAGCAAGTGGCTATACCCACTGCGCAACGTGACGTCGATGTGACGTCTTTTTCGTGTCATTTTTGGACGTCCAAATTCGGTCCAATGAAGGGGTTGTTTTGTAACGCCAGACGACGTCTTTTTTTCGACGTCAACTGCACGTCTAATTTGGACGTCTGTGGGACCTCCGTGTAAGGGCTATTTATAGTCCAAATGTGGTTACTTTTGGACGTCTTTTCAACGTCAAATTTAGACTTATATTATACGTCGTTTTTCTAACTTATATGACTTTACAACATTACAGTAATACACATACAAATAAATCACAATTCAATAATCACCATTTTAATCTTTATTCAAAAATAAATTGCCATGAATAGCATCAGAAGGGCACTGGACATATCAAGCACAATTATGTACAAATAATTAGATTGTAATTTAATTATGAACAAATAATTAGATTGCAATTGAAGGGCACCAAATATATCTAGCACAATTATGAACAAATAATTAGTTAGTAGATCTCTATGAATGTAGTGTAAGACATTTACAAGTGATGAATAGTTCACACTTTATGCAGAAAGTGCAAATGATTAATTCATGCCTTTACACATCTATAACAGGTGTTAAACACTGTAGTGTAAAATTGTAATTTAATTTAATTATGAACAAATAATTAGATTGTCATTGAAGGGCCACAGTAAAGCACAATTATGAACAAATAACTAGATTGTAATTTAATTTATAATTCAAGTCCTCTCGTCTTGGCTCATCAGGGAGTTGTGAATCCTCTACCTCCAATCTTTGCGGCGCGTGCTTGAGGTGCTCAGAAACATGCATCTTGATTTACTTCTCTGTGGCTGCAGAATCAAATTTCATGATCCCTCCTACACAAGCAGAAAAATATATGATTTAGATATATGCAACGGCAATCTGCAATCATTCACCAAAGGCCCCACATTTGTAAGCAAAAATATGTTTCCTTGCATCCATTACTGGATAAATACTAAGCCATCTCAGCAACTGTTAACTAACACTTAGGCTGTCTACAAAGAGGCACTAAGCAGACTGCACTTTTTTTAGAAAGCTTGCATTCTTTAATGTGTGCATTAGAATGTTGACCATTGTCAACACCTTATAATAACGTTCAGTTGTAAGTCTGTAAGTGGTTAGTTAATGAACTACTTTGAAAATATTAGTATCATTTGCTAATCATTTATGAATGTTTTGTCAATTCCGTTACAAGTCATTTACAAGTTATTAGTAAATTGTTAATGTATAAAACATGAATATACGTTTCATAAATGAAAAAAATAATAATGTATGCATCTAGCAATTAGAGGGGGAAAGTGTTGTAAATGTCTTGTATTCATGTACATATCATTTGAAACAGGTAAGTAACAGTTTTTAACAGTGTGTAAATGCATGAATAAGTCATTTACAACACTTTCTGTATCCCCTAATCTAAAGTGTATAGTAATCGCTAGTAAATGTGTTACAAAGCATGCGTAGATCTTATGCCTTATTGATTCTTGAAGTGGTAATCTACGAATGAAGTGTAAGACATTTACAAGTGATGAATAGTTCACACTTTATGCAGAAAGTGTAAATGATTAATTCATGCCTTTACACATCTATAACAGGTGTTGAACACTGTAGTGTGTACTGCAGTGTAATTGCTGACTAGTGAGGTTGTAGACAGCTGTCTTCTCTAAAACACAAGGAGTCTAACCACTAGGCACCTGACATTTATGAAACGTAATGATTAATAATTTACAAAACATGACTATTCAATTGTAAATGACTTGTAATAATTTACAAAACATACATGAAGTGTTAGCATATCACTTGCTAAACATTTATGAATGTTTTGTATATGATTAGTTCATCATCAACCACTTATAAATTACTTAAAACACTGAAATAACAGTTTGTAATAACGTTCAGTTGTATCAACCTGTTGTGCTTTGTGCAATTTACAAAAGTTAGCTTTGTGCTTGGTAGAGGGCTGCATTGGGATTGAGTACCGCCGGGTCCCACGGGAGTGTAACATCCGTTGCGGGAGCGGGCGGTAATGGTCAGAGATTCGGCGGGGTGAGGAAAATAGTCCTGCGCAGGGCTCTACTTGGAAACACATTGGACTCAATAAAAATTACTATTGAGAATAATTTTGCACAAAAAAAAAAAAAAGGGATTAAAGGGATACTCCACTTTTTATGAAATAGGCTCATTGTACAACTCCCCTAAAGTTAAACAGTTGGGTTTTACCATTTTCTAAATCATTCAGCAAATTTTCTGATATTTAGAAGAGTATATCAGTAACCAGATAGTTTCTGTTCTCATTGACTTCCATAGTGGGAAAAACATATATTATGGAAGTCAATGGGACCAGAAACTGTCTGGTTACTGATACTCTTCTAAATATCAGAAAATCGTAAATAGTAAAACTCAACTGTTTAACTCTGAGGGATTTGTAAAATTAGCCAATTTCCAGACAAAGTGGAGTATCCCTGATAATACAACACATCAACTATTTGTCAGAGCAGACTGTTTTCAGTTGAAGGCTACTTCAACTTCAAAGTAATAAGGACCACCACAGGAAGTCATTCATACCCAGAGGTATAACAGTTTGCACTGACTCACCTTTATGCCATGAGAGGAGAATAATATTGAGATCTGTTACTTTTAACTTTGCTTTCAAATATGATTTAATCAGTCAGACTTTGAAGGGTTAAAGGAGTAGTTCAAATTTAAAAAAATAAATAAAAAAGCTTTTGCTGATAATTTACTCTGCCCCATGTCATCTAAGAAATCCATGTCATTCTTTCTTCAGTCGAAAAGAAATTAAGGTTTTTGATGAAAACATTCCAGGATTTTTCTCCATATAATGGACTTTACTGGGAACCAAACGGTTCAAGGTCTAAAAGACAGTTTCAGTGCAGCTTCAAAGGGCTTTAAACGATTCCAGATGATGAATAAGGGTCTTATCAAGGACCCTTTGAGTCATGACTCGAAAAAAGATTAGTTCATTTTGATGAACGAGTTCAAACAGGAGAGTCACGAACGCTCATCACAGAACAGAGCAAGGCAAGCATTTGTGCTCATAAAACTTAAACTTTTTTATTTATTTATTAATGAGCGATCGTTTCGCTAGATAAGTCCCTTATTCATTGTCTGGTGTTTTTAAAGCCCTTTGAAGCTGAACTGAAACTCTCAGTTGGACCTTGAACCGTTCCCATTGAACTCCATTATATGGAGAAAATACTGGAATAATCCTGGAATGTTTTCAAAAACCTTAATTTCTTTTTGACTGAAAAAAGAAAGACATGGACATCTTGGATGACATGGGGGTGAGTAAATTATCAGCAAAAGCTTTCAAAAGTGAACTACTCCTTAAAGAACTCTAATGATATCTTTACCCCCTGATAGGGTTAATATTGCAAATATTCTATTGCAGATATAAATTCAAACATTTAAACATAAAGGCTAAGAGTATGAGCCATGAGTAAACTGGCCAGATATCTGTGAAAAATAACTTGCGTACCTAAAGTTGTCGACCCCCTGAATTCAGCATTTAAAAGTAAAAAGAATTTCAGTATTTATCAGTAAAAAAATACATAAAAATAAATAAATACCTTTGAGTTGGACAGTACGATGTCTCATTGGACAACTTATTTCAAAACACACCTAGAGAAATAAAATAAAAATACCAATGACCATGATATTCTGTTATCATAATAGTTAAATTCATTATTATAATTATGACCTTTATAACATGATATTTGCCATCTATTATTTAGCTGATTATTTAGCCTAAAGGCTTCTTAAGGACAATCTCACAAAAAAAAAAAAAAAAAAAAAAACTGGGGTTAAGACTTCTTTCAAAAGCATAAATCCTACAGACCTAGAACTTTTGAACAGTAGAGTACAGTATGTTTGAGGTTTTGCTTACTAGTCGAGTTCATAGCCGTGGAGATTGTCTTGGACAGGGGGTGCAGTAACTTAGGACATCAACATGATCTTAGAAAATAACATGCAATGTGTCACAGCCAACAATGTTACATAGGATTAGAACATAGGGTTTATTACAAGGAAGCAAGCATATATAATTTCTCTTTTCTGCATTTCACCTCTCCTCTAGCTAAGAAAAGAGAAAGTATATACATAAATATTATTAAATAAATGCATATGACATTACTATCATGAATAAACAATAAATCCCCCTTTTATTGTGGACGTTTTTTCCTCATGAAATCACTTTTTTTAATCAATCTTTGTAACGTTAAGTGACGTCACTGATTAATAATACATCGCATTATTTTAGGCTAAATAAATTAGCTTAACGTTACCCATTGTAAATTACCAGCAAAAAAACTATCAAAAATTATTATCTACACAAAGATAAAACCCCAAACTTATACAAAACAGCTTCAGAGTAACTTACCTTAGCTAACTTAGCTGCTAGCCTCTTCTGAAAACGATTGAGATGCTAACGGACTTTTTCGAAG